GAGAGAGAGAGAGAGAGAGAGCTGATGGCCTGAATTTGATCTACATTTAGACAATTTTCGTATAAATATATTAAATCTAAATATTTATCGACAAAAACCGCTGCAAACGACACACGAATTGCACATAAAATACAAATCTATGCCAAAAGAAACACAAAACACATTATCATAAAAAGTTTAACAACTATTTAAAAAACATTGCAAATCATTAAAGTCAACAATAAATAAATCCAATCTAATTATACCTTAAGATCGGCTACCGATCCGTTCATCAGTTGTCGCAACTGATCCAAAGTGGGTAACAGTAATGGCGTCGACACGATTTGGCCAAAGTTTACGCTATATTTGGCATCAAATAAAACAAAGAGACAAAACAAATCAGGATTTAAAACCAAACAATATTTCAATCAATCACTTGTTATAAGTAGAGTAAAAACATTGGGATTAAAACATCACAAAAAATATTAAACAAACAACAATGGGATTAAAGGCAGCGGTGGTGGGGGTCGGGATCCAGGGGTACAGTATATTGAGACACAAAAGTTGCTAAAAAAGTATTACATCCATCACTCCCAGCCCTGTCTCCCCCTATAGTTTACAAAACAATCACAATTCTCTAATCCGAGACACAAATAATCAGTGATAATATCTCTTAAGATTAAGATTGCCCAAAAAATAATTAACATTTCGCATCACATTTACCGTAATATAAAGCACACGCATCGGCACATGAGCTCCACATCCCAACGCCTGGCCAACTGGTCGGCCAACACGTCCAACAGTTGCACCACATAATTGAAGGGCAGCGTCAACAGTGTCTCCTCCAACTCGTTGGATTTGATCCGTCGCAGCACTTCCAGCGCGTACCGGTGCGGACAGTCGGTCTTGTAGTACATCATACGGGGATTGGGCGGCGGGGGAGCCGGCAATTGTTTATCGCCGCGGGTTTCGGCCGCACGACACCTATCGTCGTACTCTCGCCGAGCGGCCACTTCTTCGCGATACACGTCCAGCGCTTCGATGAGTCGCTCGGCTCCGGCCACTGTTTCGGGCCAAAAGAAGCTGCGGTCTGGTCAGAGCGCTAACCAGAGAGGCCCTTAGTGACAGAGAAGCCACCGCTTGTCGCTAAGGAGCTTCAGCGCGAGGGAAAGGTAGAGGAAGAGGAGCAGGTTGTGGTTGCGTTCGGTCGTCTTCTGCCACACGCGTAGTGTCCGGTCGTGAGCGGCGGTCACCGCGAACTTGCCGTCCGGCGACACAGCCATCGCCCACACCTCCGCCTGATGGCCGCCGAGTGTCTGTATCTTCTCGTAGCCGTCGGCGTCCCACTGTTTCAGCGCCTTGTCTTTGCCGGCGGTGAACAGATAGTGTGTCTTCGGCACGAACTGCACGGCCATTAGGCTGTCGTCGTGGGCGAACAGCGACCGGTGACAGTCGCCAAAGTCCATACCCCAGAGTTTAAGATTCTTGTCGCTGGAACCGGTGGCGATCAGCGCGCTGTCCGACGATATGTCCATCGATAGCACCGGGAATTTGTGTCCGTAGAGGCTGAGGAAGAATTTCAACGTGTCGTAGAAGAACAGCTTAACGGTGCTGTCCAATAGGGAGGCGGCCACGAACTTGCCGTTCGGCGACACCCGTACGCACAGCACGCCGTCATCCATGGCCAGTGAGCGCTGATGAATGACCGACAGGTGGCGCGAGTTGGCCACCGTATCCAACTGCAGCTCAAACGACCAGAACTTTACCGACTTATCTTCGCCACCGGTGACCACACCCGCGGAGTTGGCCGCCAAACACATGGACCAAATGGGCAGCTGATCTTCGGAGGCCTCCACGGTGTAGACCAATTGGGCGGCGTTTATGTCAAACACTTGCAATCGGCCAGACTTTGTGCCCACGAGTACGTAACGATCGCCCGGAGCGTAGGCACAGCACAGGCCGTACTCCACGCCATCCGTGATTGTGGTCACGCATTTGCCGCT